TCCCTCACCTTCGGGCGTGGTTTTTCTTTTTACGGGTGTTTTTCTTTTTAGGTCCTCTCCTCGCACGTCGCCCTCCTCTCCGAGGCCTTTCCGAGACCTTTCCGAGACCTTTCCTAGGCCCTCTCCTCGCACGTCTCCCTCGGAGGTCTGGGGAGATCTGGGGAGATCTGGGGAGACCCGAGTAGGTCATCTACTCGTACGTCACCCTCCTCCCGCTGCTGCTCTGGGCCGCCCTCCGCTACTACGATGCGCAGAAGCGGCGCGTCGAACGGCCCGCGGTGTTCCTCGCCGCTCCACGCGAGCTCACGCGAGATCACCCGAGATATGACCCGTGGGTAGGCTCGCCGGCGTCAGCGGTGTACGTTGCTGGCGAGAGCATCGGCAGCGCGAGGGTAGCCGCTGCGAATAGGCAGCGTGGCTAGAAGGAGCAGCTAGAAAGAGCAGCTAGAAAGAGCAGCTAGAAAGAGCACTAGAAAGAGCAGCTAGAAAGAGCAGCCACACGCCGCTCCACGCGAGATCACCCGAGCTCACCCGAGATCACCCGAGATCACCCGAGATCACCCGAGGGTAGGCTCGTCGACGTCATCTGCAGATCTCGGGTCATCTCGGCCTCATCTCGGTGTCATCTCGGCTAACCTCGGCTAATCTCGGCTAATCTCGGCTAATCTAGGCTCGTCGACATCATCTGCATCTACGGCTACACGCTCGGCGTCTTCGTGCCCGTCTCGATCCTGCGCGCGCCGCCTCGAGATCGCCTCGAGATTCGAGATCGCCTCGAGATTCGAGATCGCCTCGAGATTCGAGATCGCCTCGAGATTCGAGATCGCCTCGAGATTCGGAGTCGCCTCGAGATCGCCTCGAGATTCGAGATCGCCTCGAGATTCGAGATCGCCTCGAGATTCGAGATCGCCTCGAGATTCGAGATCGCCTCGAGATTCGAGATCGCCTCGAGATTCGAGATCGCCTCGAGATCGCCTCGAGTTGGGCCGAGGCCAGGTGCGTGCTGCCCCCCGAGATCACCCGAGATTACCCGAGATCACCCGAGATTACCCGAGGCCAGGTGCGTGCTGCCCTCCGAGCCGCTACGCTGGCTGCTCGTGCTGGCGGGCGGCGGGGTGTCGGCGCTGTTCTTGCTCTCAAACTTCCACGCGCACCTGAGCGACTGCTTCCCGTACGGCGAGGGCGCGCCGAGCCTTAGATGCACGTGCACATGTCTCTGTGCATGCACATGTCAGACACATGTCACAGACACATGTCAGGCACATGTCAGGCAGGCAGGCAGGCAGACAGACAGACAGACAGACAGACAGACAGACAGACACACAGGCAGGCAGGCAGGCAGGCAGGCAGGCAGAGAGAGAGAGGGAGACAGACCGACAGACAGTGGCGACTCTCCCTCGACCGCGCGCGCCATTCGGCCGCCTGTCTTCGCCTCGCGCTCCACTCGTACTGACGGGCGGCTGGCGAGGCCGGCACGCCACCTGTCTCTGTGCATGCACATGTCAGACACATGCACATGTCAGACACATGCACATGTCAGACACATGTCACAGACACATGTCAGGCGCATGCACATGTCAGGCAGACAGACAGACAGACAGACAGACAGGCGCGAGGCTGGCACGCCACCTCGTCCACACGGCGCGACGCCACATCGTCAGGACCTTTCCGAGACTTTTCCGAGACTTTTCCGAGACCGTTCCGAGACCTGTCCGAGACCGTGCCGAGACCTTTCCGGTCCGCCGCATCGTCCAGGCGACGCAAAGCGGAAGATGGCGACGCTGCTCGGCGGGATGGCGGCCTGCCACTTGGTGCTGCTGCTGCTATTCAAGCTCTACTTCTTCCACTACGCCTGACGCGACGCCTGACACTACGCCTGAGGAGGCCGCGTGCGGCGGCGGGCGTGCGGCGGCGGGCGTGCGGCGGCAGCACGCGCGACTTCACGCGCGCATGTGTGCGTGCGCGGGCGGAG